AGAATATCTAAGGTGCAGGAAAAGATGAAGTAATTTTATCCTTTTGTTGCACAAACATAAGACATAACCCTAGCAGATGCACAGGAGTTGTCTTGAGCCTAGCAGAGCCTACACTGCTCTGTCTATGGCCAAGTAATCCCTTCATGGGAGTCTTGAAGTGGCAGATGTTCTAATAGCTTTTAACTATCCAACCTGTGCCCACCAGGCATAGCGCAACCAGGCAACTGAGACAAGAAGATATAGGATCTTTCTTAGCTCAGCTTGCCAAGAAAGGGAGTCGTGTTAGAGAAAGGTGATTCATTCCTTCTAATACCTGCAGTGAGCTAAAAGAGTGAAATGTGCAAAGACCATGGGCCACAAAGAGCTAAGAGCATTAATGTGAGAGATCACTTCCTCACCAGCAGAAGGATCAAATCAGATAGGAAAACTGAGATGAGACTGAGCCAAAATTCCCTCCAACTTGTGGAGGGGTGCCACAAAAAAAGCAAACTCATTCCCTCTTGAAGATCTTGGTGGAGCCTCCAAGCTGTCACAGGGAAGTGACTCCCAACCTGTTAAATGTCAGATATGCTGAGTTCACACAACTCGATGATTAAAGAATGTATACAAGGACAAAGGAGATTAAAAGTAGCAAAGGTTTTGTGAGAGAAAGCTTTAGAGAGATAGGAGGGGTTCTGAAAGTGCATTGCTGCTCTGGATTTTTCTGGGAATTTTTACACACAAAAATGATCACATATCAGGCCACTCTGAACCAAGCTGAGGCCAGTTTAAGGGATTATATGTATAGTAGCTTAGCTAATATTGATCCTGTAAGGAAGTGAGACCTGTACCAAGTGATAAGGTGGGCATAACTTACTTCAGTTTATAACTTTTAACAAAGAAAGGTCAAGGCATTTGGGGGAAAGGATGGGAGTATGAGTCAGGGTGTTCTGGCCACCCACTTATGCATCTAATATGCCTTATCTAGGCTCACTGGACCAGGTGGCACTGATTATACTGCAATTTGAAGCTGCGATCTATCTCTAGGGAGGCCTGCAGGCCTGACTCTCTTCCAATTTGTTTCAAGCCACAGCTTTGATGTGCCTTATCTTTTGTACCAACTCCTTTGAAAGCCTGGTCCATCTCCCACTGCCTGTTAATGTCATCTAACCTGCAGTCTATAATAATAGTGTATCATGTTTCATTATTTAAAAAATTAAGCAAATATTTTTCCTAAAAAAATAAATTGGAAAAATAATTGCTTTCCTCTGGAAAAATAATTTAGTAATTATTTCCCTGAATTACTTGCCCAAATTAGTTATAGGAAAAGTTATCCAACTTTGGCCCAGTAAGTCTATTTATAGGTATCCAATGTAAAGCCCAAATCCAAAATGCAGTCTAGGGCTCATGACCATGACCACAATATTGATTACATTATTTGCAATAATGGAAACTCAGTCTTTTACTACCAAACCCTAGGGAAGAAATTAAGTCAACCTTACTTGAACAGCCACCCAGAATTGCTGTTTACAGAGCCTGTGCATGCTGCAGGAAGGTAACGTTGACTTGGGGTTGGGAGAACCAAGCAGGCGGGCATGGGTGTGCACAGTGAGATGACAGCTCTGCAGTTTCCAGATGCAAGCGTCCCATAGCAGCGGATAGCAACATCAGAAACCCTGGGACAAACACCATACACTCGATGTCAATGGCCATTTTCATCCACTATAACTGATGTCTATCAGATTCCAACATGCAATTCATTTCTAATAAATTGAGCAGAGGTCAACAAGATAGGCAGCTGTCCCGTCACCACTTAGCATAGAATTTGAAGCTTGCTTCATGGAACAAAAATACCCTTGGTCCAAGTGATGTGAATTTCAGAAATGGAGGAAATACATATTTAATAAAGTAAGTGTAGGAGAATTATGATGAAAGGTGTATTAAAGTGTGTATTCTGTGGCACTGTCTTCCCACACACTCAAAATCCTGAACCTCAACATTGAGTGTGTTTGGTTCCGGGTATTGGGAGCCAGAGGTCCTCCTGCTTAAAGTATCCTTGTGCTATCTGGGGAGGCAGAACCTCAGGAGTTCATCTACACCATCACCAGGTCCTTGGGATCCCTGGGCCCACAGGTGTTTGAGTGGCACCCCTGGGGTCACAAAGAGAGATGGGTGGGAGGGCAGCAGGCAGAGGGTGAGACCCGGATCCACTTAAACTCCAGCTTTGGGCACGGGCTTTTGCATTTGAATATGATTCCCATTGTTGCTGCCAGAGCCACCTGAGCAAGGCACAGCCCTTTCTCACTGCTAGGGGAAGGGATACTTCAGAATCTACTTTACAAACCATTGTGAAGATGGCAGGAAGCCACTGGTACAGGGTAGGTCCCCAGTAAATGTAAGAGATTTCTATCCAAGGTGTCTTCCTTGGTACTACTCTTGTGTCTGTGAGGGGAGGCTTTTCACCAGGTCAGACACAGACTTGACCTTGCAAAACACACTAGTTTATGCCTAAAATCTCTTTACCCTAAGGTAAATCTGGCAACACATTTTTTGGGAGAATTTTAATTTGGAGACTATTGTAGATTCCCATGCAGTTGTAAGAGGTGTAATCAAAATATAGAGTGAATATTTAAAATTTTTAAATGTATTACAGCACAAGACACATTGTCATTGATCCTCCTCAAAATACTCCCCGTCACTTTGAATGCAGTTATTCCACTGTTCCTGACAGTTTCTGAAGGAGTTCTAGAAATCTTCTTTCCTGGGTGCTTTTATGAGATGTGACCAAAAAAAAAAATAATAATAAAAATAGATGGTCAATCTGCTGCCAAATGCTATCCAAGAGAAAGGTAGGCTCATAATAACATCGTGGTGCGTCCTCATCCACTTTATTCACTGATCTAACACCATACAACTTCTGGCTCTTCCCCAGTCAAAATGATCATGAAAGGTAAACTTGTTAAATTCAGGACATCAAGGTAGCCATGACAGTGCAGCTAAAGACACAAAAGAGGACTCCCAGAACTGCTCCAGAAAGTGGCAAGAACTATGGGATAAGTGTGTTCAAAGTGAGCGGAAGTACTTTGAGGAGGATCCATGGCAGTGCACCTTTTATTGTAGTAAACTTTTTAAAATTTAAACATTCTCTTTATTTTTTCACCATACCACATACTCTGTTAGGAAGTTCAAAAGCGTCTTGTAAATTGTGAGAAAGATTACGCCCCTATTCAACCTCCCTCAGTGAAGACATCTTTTTTTCAGCTTTAATTTGTTCAAAGTGAGCGGAAGTACTTTGAGGAGGATCCATGGCAGTGCACCTTTTATTGTAGTAAACTTTTTAAAATTTAAACATTCTCTTTATTTTTTCACCATACCACATACTCTGTTAGGAAGTTCAAAAGCGTCTTGTAAATTGTGAGAAAGATTACGCCCCTATTCAACCTCCCTCAGTGAAGACATCTTTTTTTTTTCAGCTTTAATTGAGTTTATTGGTACATTTTAGAGATACAGTACAGTTACATTCATTGTTGGGATCTTGTACCTCTACATGACAAGTCTTGATTATCATTTTTTCCCCTTACCTCTGCTCTCCCTTCACTCCCTCCTCCCCTCCCCATCTACAAACACTTTATTTTCATCTTTTCATTCTCTCACATTTTTTTCTTTTCCCTTTTTACTCTTCCCCTACCCATCCCACCTTCCCTACACCTTTAGCTCCTTTCTTCCCATTTCTAAATGTCAGTAATCTTATTAGGATCTTCTGTATTATTGCAGATTATTCACACCAGGGAAACTATTCGGTATTTACACATGTGTGACTTATTTATTTCACTTAGGAGTAGATCTTCAATATGTATAATGGAGACATCTTTTAAAGCAGTGGTGTGTGCAAGATTAAAACCAGGTACTGATGTTGATACCAGCTACTGATCTCATTTCAGCCCTCCCCAGTTTTACTTCTATGTGTGTGTGTGTTAGCTTCAGTAGAGTCCTGACATGTCCTTATCATATACATGTACAGACATACTTTCTAAATAACTTGTCCAAACATGAGGCTGCCCACAATTTTCAGCTGCCCTGCCTCTATGTACTCCTTTTACTCCTCAATTTACTTCTTTTAAAAAAGAAAAGATTGATAAATACACAAGTTTAAATATCACATTGTTTCTCTTGTGTGAGAAACCCAAAGGGCAGGCAAGCAAGGGCCAAAATTGATGATAGATATTGGGAAGTAGGAAGAAAATGTTCAAATGGAAAGGGGAACAAAAGATGTGGGGAGAGGAGTGGAAGAAAGAGAAAAGGAAAAAAGAACACAAGGAAAAAATGAAAACAATGCTTTTGTAAACAGGGAAGGGAAGAAGGGTTGAAGGGAGGGCAGGGGAATGGGGCAAAAAAGAAGAATCAAGATGGATCAAAATCCCTGTGATGAAAGTAATCACTGTGTATGACAAATATGTGCAAACAAAAAATAAAGTTAAAAATAAATTATGTAAGCAGAAAAACAAAATGAAGAACAAAAAGATTGATTAAGCAAGTGGATAAAATAAACAAGATCAAACTCAGGGAAGGACGATCTGTTTTTAAGGTCAAGTTCACTGACTCTGGTCAGTAAAATCTCGGCCATCTCTGGATCCTGTTTCCCAACCCCTAGGGGCCTTTCTGCCTCTTGTTTTCCAACCAAATCCCAAGGGGGAAGCATCGTTGAACTATTGCAGACCCTTGGTCTCTCCTTGTCTCCATCTACCGCTTTGCTCCTCTGTCTCCCTGTGTGTTTGCCTCTGTAATTCTCTCCCCTCTCTACCCCCAGCAGCAGCTACACTCAAAATTCCACCTCCCAGCAAGCAAGAACACCAAAGGTCCAGCACTGGTGACCTTGTTGCATTCCCATATTCTTGACAATTTACCAAGTAGATAAACTCCAGCCAGAAAATTCAGCCCCACAGTGCTGGCTTCCTGTGTTCAGATCTGAGGCCATGCAGGGTAAGGAGGCGGGCCAAGGAGGTTACACAACTCCCATTGGGAAGAGGGTGGGAGGAAGGCGTGGGCACACCTGGGCAGAGGAGCAGGCAGTCGTGCCAGAATGGACGGTAGACTGTATGCAGGAGGAGAGGACTATGAAAAGGAGTTCGACCCCAAAGACTACCTGGAAACCTACTATGCCTTTGACTCGGGCACCATGGCTGAAAACGAAATCCTGAAATTTAACCTGGAAAACCTCTTCCAGACCTTCACTGCAGGTAAGTGGCTAGGGAGGGTCCACGTGGGTTCATGGTGTGGCCGGGGGATACAATGGACAGGAAGCAAGCGTCTGTGCACCAAGGATGTTGCAGAAGCAGCCCAGCCTGTCCTGGCCACCAGCCTGCTAAGTGCAAGGCCTCTGCCAGGTAGCAGCAGTTGAGTGCAGAGCCCTGGCCTCAGAGATCAGAGCGAGGCTTGGGTGTGTGCTCATCAGCCTCAGTTTCTTCACCTGTGAAATGGAGAGGGTGATCCCAGAACTGGCCTGAGAACACTGCCTCCTGTTTGACTGCCCTACCTGCCTCCTCTGCTGAGAGGCATGAAAGCAGGACTTTGCGCCTTCCTGGGCTCTTGAATCCTATGGTAATCTGATGAACATTCCTACACACACACACACACACACACACACACACACACACAAACACACATACACACACACTTTTAAAAAACAGAAAAAAAGAGACTTGCCTAAGCACGTGTGAGGCCCTGGGTTTGATTCTCAGCATTACCCATAAAGGTGGAGCGAGAAAGCTCATGTATTCCTGAAGCCAAACCATAGAGTTCAGTTTACAAATCCTTGCTCTGGGGCATTAGAACTGGGTGAGCCAGTAGAGATTAACTCTCAAATTCCTCAGTGCACCCCAGGGGAGAGTGAGGCTCAGTGTGGGAGGGAAGGAGGGAGGGAGAGGGGTGGCCAGCCCAGATCAGACAGCAGCAGCAACAGCAAGACTAAAGCTTTTGTGAGGGGCTGCGGTGTACCGCATAATCCTAAAGGTAGCTCAAGCACTCTCAAACCTTATCTAACTATGTAACCAGCTCCGAGAAAGGTACAACAAGGAATGCTCCCTGGGACACAGAGCAAAGGAAGCTTAGTGCTCTCAGAGAAATCTAAGACATCCTGGAGAGGGGAGATTGGCACTGAGCCTTGGCAGATGGACAGGTGGATATTAAGGGAGAAGGCCAGAGGGAGGATGTAGGGATTAGAGAGCATTAGCTTAGTGTTGCCTGTTCCTCTAACTGGTTGCCATGTCCCTCACCTTCTGGATTGGCTGAGCTGATCACGAGCCCTCTGGCCCAGTTCTCAGCCTTCATCCGGCTCCGTCCACCACGTAAGTCCAGAGTCAGAACTCCACGGGAAATAAATCAGCTTCAACCAGGAAGTCAGCACTAACCTGTCCAGAAGACCCTGACGTACACTACCAGGGCCCCACTAGTACTTTGGGGGTTTGGGGGGATCTGGTATGTGTGCCAGGCTGTGCTCACCCCAGCCTTACTGTCCCAACACCAGATGTAGATGAGCCCTCCCTGCAAGGATGGCGGAGGGGGAGGAAAAGGCGGGCACAGGTCACCTCAGCATGCCCTCCTAAGCTTGTAAGTCCTGGGGAAGCGGGGGGTCGGGGTCTCCTCTACCCACTTCCCCAGGCCTCCCAGTGCTGTCCCTGATAGGCGGAGTGTGCGGCAACCTGTTGATCGACATTGGCACCGGCCCCACCATCTACCAGCTGCTCTCGGCCTGCGAGGTCTTCAGTGAAATCATCACCTCAGACTACAGTGAGCAGAACCTGCGAGAGCTGGAGAAGTGGCTGAGGAAGGAGCCAGGTGCATATGATTGGTCCCCCGCAGCGAAATATGTGTGTGAGCTGGAAGGAGACAGGTACTGCAAGTCCCACCCATGCCACCATCCCTGGCCACCGTCAGAGAAGCCTCCCCACCCCGGGCCAGTGTCCAAGACCCCACTCAGCTCACTGAACATCTCCCCTCTCCCTCTTCCCAGCTCCCCTCCACTCAGTCCCACTCTGGCTGCACAATTAACTGTGACTGCCCTATCCCACCCCTAGCCCACCAGCCTCTGGTTCCCTTCTTCCTGGGAGCCTCCAGGATTGCTCCAGCCCACATTCACCTCACTTTCCTTTGAAAAGTCATGGTTCAGCTTCTCCTTTCACCTAATGCTGGGTACGGGAAAGACGCAGGGAGCTGGGAATCCCCTACTCCATGCCAAGTCCCACGGACCAACAGCAACAGCCACCTGCAGCACCTCCCCCATTCCGGCTCACAGAGAGCAAATGGAGGGAGATGGGAGGGCAATGATTCTGCCCCATTCTACAGCAGAGGCAACTGAGACCGGGGCTGGAGGGTGGCCTCTGGTCTACTCAGAGCAGGGCAGCCTGCAGCAGGCCAGGTCTGAGCATTGCTCTGTATTCACTTGTGCTATCATTCAAAGAGCCTTGGGCCTTCTAGGCCCTGGGGGACCCACAGTGAAGAAGTCTTGTCCCTTGGAGCTCACACTCCAGTGGAGAAGGCAGCCACACTCAACTACATAGAAGACGCAGATAAACATGAGGTGACAGGGTGGACTTCGGCCAGCTGGGGACCTGAGACACAGGGTGCTGAGCTGCGTAGGCCGTTGTGTTTAGTCTCCTTTCCTCACTGGGACAGAACGCCTGACACGCACGGCTTCAAGGAGGAGAGGTTTGATTTGGTCACTGTTTCAGAAGTTGCAGTCCACGGTTAGCTGGCTCTCAGGGAGAAGCAGTATGGTGGAAGGGCCTGGTGAGGGCAAGCGGCTCACTCCCCGGGGACCAGGAAGCCAAGAGCAGCTGAAGAGCTTGAGAAGAAGGGGCCGGGGACCAGACATATGCAGGGCAATCAAAAACCATGGTGAACGCTTGCAGTTTTTAAATTATGACAGCCAAAGACGTATTGTCATTGGCACCCCCCGTAATAGTTCCCCACGTTTCCCGTCACTCTGGCCACTTTCAGAAGCTGGTCTGGAAGTCCTCTTTCATGTCTTTAGCTGTGCTGTCACAGCTGCTTCAATGTCTTGAATTGATTCAGAATGTTTACCTTTCGTGGTCAGTTTGACTTGAGGAAACGGCCAGAAGTTGTGCATTGCCAGATCTGGTGAATTAGGTGAACGGGGACACGCTTTAATGTTTTTACAAGACTGATTTTCCATTGGATGGCACTTGGGGACACCATTCACCGAATATGTTACCACACCTTTGCTTCAAAAAAAAAAAAAACGAGACGAAGGGAGGAGATGGATCTTCTGGGGAGATTAATGGCAATTTGTATTTTATTGTAGTCAGTTTTTTAAGTTATTCACTGTGTATTTCGATCACACCTAGTAGTCCCAAGGTCATTACCCTTGACCTACCCAGACACACCCAGAAGTATGGTTTACTAATACAGGCATCTCTCAAGCCAACCAAGTTGACACTCAAGATCACCTAGCACCTTCTAAAAGCAGCCTGGGTGAGCAGCTTCCTGGGTACTTAAAGATCTTTGGAAGGAGAGTCAGGCAGTAGGAACAGCAAAGGCCAGGGCTGGCAGTGAGAATGAGCTGCTCAAGGACCAGTAAGAAAGGAGCTGCCATGTGAAGGACAGCCAGGTGTCAAAGAAGGCAGCTGAAGCCAAGCCGCATGTAGGGTGATAGCTTCAGCCTCAAGTTCACTAGAGAGGGAATGGAGTGGTGGCATGGAGGAGTCATCACACTGCCAGCTGATAACTTGGGAGACAAAGCAGGCAAACTTGCAGAGCAAGGAGAGCAGGATGTTTAGGCGGCTGACATGGTGTCGAGCAGGTGAGAGCCCCGGAGGGCTCGGAGGTGGCTGTGGACTGGGATCATTTGTGGGTAGAGTCAACTGTTTGCTAATGGTGTGGATGTTGGGGCAGTGAGGAATCATGGGCAACTCCCACGGTGTGCATGTTGGGACTCAGAGGAGGCTTCAGGGCTGGAGATGAACTCCGCGAGCTGAACACCACAAGGCCAAGTGGAGATGACACCATGTTAGTGTCAGACAGGAGGAGGCTGCAGTGGGAGACTGGGAGAGAGCGAGGACCACGAGTGTGCAGCCCCCAGGAAGCCAAAGAAAGGGTGCTCTTCCCAGAACAAGGAGCCTAGGATGTAAGAACGTGGAGAATGTTATGATAAAAGTAAGTCACACCCAGAAGGAATGCACCCCCCCAGTACCACAGATGTGAAATCACTGTAGGCAAATTCACAGAGACCGAAAGCAGATGAGTGGCTCCCAAGGGCTGTGGGGAAGGGACCTGGGGACAATGGAGTCATTGCTTAATGAGTACAGGGTTTCCATAGAGAGCAATGAAAAAGTATTGGGAAAAAACAATGATGGTAGTTGCACAACATTACAAGTACAATTAGTACCACTAAATAGTACAATTACAACTTGTCAAAATGGCAAGTTTTATTGTATATACTTTACCACTTAAAAATTAATAATGAAATGTACCCCAAAAACACTTGTTAAGAAGGAGGTAGAGGCAATGAAGGAGGGAGTAATAAAATATAAAATCCACCATCCATCACTAGAGTTCGGTAAACTTGAGCAGATCTGTGCCTTAGTTTCCTCATTTTTATGGTGAAAGAAACAATGTCTCCCTTAAATATTTATTTGCCTAAGAGGTTAAATTATGGGCTTTTCCCAAGGATGACCACTGGGGCTGGTAAAAATCACAATGATGATGTTTATCACAGTTATCACTTTTATTACTTGCTATCTCTGTTTCATATTAGAATCATATTGTCAGTGGTCATTGTCCTTATCACCTCACCTCTGTGACTGTCCCCTACAGGCACAGGTGGCAGGAGAAAGAAGCCCGGCTCCGAAAAACAATCACTAGGTTGCTAAAGTGCGATGTGACCCAGCCACACCCACTGGGGTCAGCCCAGGTGCCACCGGCTGACTGCGTGCTGACCCTGCTGACCCTGGAGAGCGCCTGTCCCAGTGTGGACGCATACCGAGCGGCCGTGCGGGGCCTGGTCGGCCTGCTGAAGCCAGGCGGACACCTGGTCACCATGGTCGCCCTGCGTTCACAGCACTACATGGTGGGCCCCAAGAAGTTCTTCGGGCTCCACCTGGAGCGGGAGACAGTAGAGTCGGCCTTGCAGGAGGCCGGCTGCCAGGTGCTGAGGTGTGACTACCGTCCCATCAGCTACTCTGAAGCCTGCTCCAAGAATGAGGGCATCTGCTTTGTGGTTGCCTGCAAGGGCTCCAGTGTCTAATGTCAGCCTGGTCGGGAGAGTCTCCCTGGCAGGGGAGTCATGTCCACCCAGGTCTAGAGTCTCATTCACGGCCCCTCTGTAACAGGCAGCACCTGCTTCTGATGCCTGGTCCCGAGATCACAGAAGAAAAGTTGGGGATCTGTTCTCCATAGTCCTATCTTGTTACCCTGCAGCGAAGACCATGAAAATAAAGTTATTTATCTGGGTGCTCTTTTTATTTGTCTTCTCCCAGAAGCAAACCTTGAGACAAGGATTTCAGTCTAAATCACTGATTTGAGAGCGAAGAGTTTATTTTGAGAAAGGACCCCATGAAACATTAATAAGGCTGTGGACAGGAAAGCAGAGAAGGAAGGAGCCAGGAGGAGCCAGCCAGTAAAGTGTGTCACTATACCTCAATGAGCCCCTACTGTAGTTAACTGGAGCTCGGAGGTGCTGGGGCCTCAGGGGTCGGTGTGGTGTTCACACTGTGGAGCTACCCACCTGGGGGAGCTGGGCCAGGGCTGACCAGTTTCTGGCATTGTGACTGAAGGCTGCTCTGGAGGACCTTAATTCCCCAGCACTCTCAGTCCATTTCATGGGGCAACACAGCCCCAGAGAACTCAAAGGCAAAGATTCATGGATGCTGGCTGTGGGGTCCTGAGTCAGTGCACCAAGGGACAAAGAAGAGGCACCAGCAGTGTCCACCATAGTCAGGATATGTGCCGTGGGCTGGGGTGCAGGGCTGGCTCCTCACTGGAGAAAGAGGAACAGGAGCTCAGGGTTTTAAAGCCAGAGACCACTGCCAAAGTAGGATTATTTTTAGGCTCAGCTCCTGTCACTGGTGTAGGGACACTAAGGTTGGGCAGGGAGGAGAAGTCCCCGTGGAAGAGTTCAGTGAATCACAGGAGAGTCCCGGGTCTACACAGTGAGGAAGATGGTGGCAGTGGAGCCTCAGGGAGCAGCCAGCCGAGGGTGACCAGTGGGAAAGAGCAGGAAGTCAGGCTGCTGCAGCCTCATGGACTGAACATGCGCTCTGACCTTAGGAAGGCCTGGGGTCACGTCTCTAGAAGGACAATTCCAAAGTCATAAGGCTCCTTACACAAATACTCTAACCAGTGATGAGTAAAGGCCAAGCCTTTTAGAGAGGAGTGCCCAAACTGTAACCCAAAACTCACTTACTTATGGCAAAGAGCCAACACTGCAATTGAACCTGAATGCTGAGGCTTTAGTTCAGCAAAACCTTATGCGTTAACATCTTTTGTCTTAAAAGAAAAACAAATAACACACATGCCACAGATCCATCACCATTGCTCTAGACCCTCATGGAGCCAGTAGCCAGTCCTGGGTTCACCGTCCTCTCTGGGATATGGGTTCACCATTCCTCTGGGTGTCCTTGTACCCCAAACCCCTATTAAGCCCCCCATGCTGTCTGGACTACAGCATGGACCCTCAGTGGTCTCTTAGCTTCCAGAACACTAATTCCAGCTCATCCTCCATGCAGCAACCTCCCAATGCAGAGGCAGTCACAGTTCTACCTGCTTAAAACCTGGGCCCAAGGGAGTAATCACCTGGCAGATGTCTCGTGTCCCACAGCCCTAACCTCCCTTGCATAACTTTGCTGCACAAAGCTTCTCTTCCTCCTCCCTAGCCCATGCAACATCTCCAAGCACTCTCTCCAAGCAATGGGGGAGAAGGTGTGGTGAGGACAAAGGCTAATCCAGCACCCCTCCCCAGGCAAAGGACAGCCTCAATTTGCCATCCTGCCACCGAAATCCACTGTTTTCCAAGCTGCTCCCATCATGCTCTTGGATGACCTTCAGCCTCACTAACATAGGACACTCACAAGCCAGTCCTCCCTCCACCACTAGCAACAAACGGAGTTTGGTACCTGTGACCAGCGGCAGAGATGTGTAATGGGAAGCAGCAGTAGCTCCCCGTGGCCACCAGAGGACAGTGCAGGACAGGCAGAGCAGGAGAGAAGGCGCTGTCAGGATGGAGATTGGCTCCAGCACCTCTTGACCTGCCGCAGTTCTCTCAGTCCCTACCAAAGGGAAAAAATCATAAACTGGCCTGCCCAACGGAGCCTGGAAACCCTTGGACAGGCAAGGCCTCTCTGTGGTCTCAGCACAAGGCTCCCAGGATACCAGGGCTTTCCAGACCAACGTCTCTCCCTGCCTGTGGATCACCCAGGGATCTTGCTAAACTGTGGATCCTGATACCATGACTCTGATCCAGCAAGGCTGAGAGTCTGCTTTCCTAACCAGTTCCCAAGGATGCTGGCACTGCTGGCCCAAGGCCCACGTGTTGAACAGCCAGGCAGTAAGGAGCGCACCTTGAGTTCTATTTTCTGTCTCTAGGTCCAACCCCTCACAGGAATAGAAGGTAACTGAGCTGAACCATCTCTCTGAGTCACAGCTGCAACCCTAGCACCAGGTACATAACAGCACACAATAAATGTTTGTGGGACAAGTAAAATATGTGAAACTCACTGTTACAGGCTTCCTGCAGCTTGGTCCTTTGGCTAATAAGTCTCTGAAGCCACCTAATCCAGTGCCCTTTTTCATTCTTTACAATCAATCAACTTGATATTTTCCTCAAAACATCAAGAGTTCATAAAGCATCCGCCAGGTGGAGCCCATTGCAAAAGTAATCGTAACTTCTTCCCTCTGCAGTGAGCTTTTGCAGTGTGAGTTTGCTGCTCATCCGGTCCAGAGGTGAGACTTCTCTGCACCGCCTCTGCCCTCCCGGTCTGGGCTTGGCCTCAGGGCTTTAGTCACGCTAACATTAGCAAAAGTGACGCATGCAGAAGTTCAAAAAGTGCTCAGACACTGGACTCTCTTGGTGTTTACTCAAAGCAGCTAAAAACTAATGCTACACAAAAGCCCGAACATGGATGTCTATAGCCGTTTTATCTCTGGGTTTCCAAAATCTAGAAGCAATGTGAATGACAGACATTGGGTGGCAATGACGTGTCAGTGTAGTTCACCGACTGTAACAAATGTACCACTCAAGCGGGCTGCTGACGGGGGTCTGTGCCTGCGTGGGGAGCGGGTATAGGAGAAACATCTGTACTTCTGCTCAATGTCATGTGAATTTAAAGCTGCTCCAAGAAACAAAGTCAATTTTTTAAAGTGCTGCTGTGCTGGGGGTTACTCATTCTCTTTCTGCTCTTGGGGCCCTGTGACCCCAGCACGTGAAAAAGCCCAGGCTGGCCTGCTGGGCCCTGATGGCCATGACATCAGGTCACCTTCCAGACTGCAAGTGAGGACATCCTAGTCCTCAACCCCAGCCAAGAGAGGCTCTGACCAGCGATATAGCCCAGCCACCCCACAGGGTCCCGAGAAAAGAAATAAGGAGTATGTTCCCTACGGATCTGGGGATGAATGGTTACCTCTCCCAAATTAACTGAAACATACTTTCCCTTAAAGGTGGCACCCCCCAGTAAATGACAACAGCTTGAAAACCATGAACTCAGAAGGACAAATGGGTGAGAGGACAACAACCACACAACTTTGAAATCCAGGAGCTGGTCGTGCTGACGTAGCAGATCCGAGAAGGTTGTGTGGCAGGCTCACGGGGCAGGGGTGTGAGCAACGTGGTTTCCTCTGAGAAGGCTCTGAGACGGCATGAGCTACTTCTGTCCAGGGGGAAGCTGGGCTGAAGGAGGGTGCAAAACAGGAGGGCTATTTAATGCTGTGTAGGAAGAGGTCAGGAGCTCAGACCAGGCCATGGAGCTACGTGGCTTGTACTCCTTAGCCCACCCCAGCCAGGGCCCAATATGCCTCTCTTAGAAAGGCCAAACAGGATGGTGAAGGACCAAAGACCACCAGGCACTGGCCATAAAATGAAAGGATTTGTTTTACATGCTGAGTCCTGAGCCTGGCCCCAGCCTGAGACTTTCCCCCTCCTGCTCAGCTCCAGGAGTCTTGTCCCCTGGCCAGAAACTAGAAAAGTGTTCTCTATGAAATCTCACCAGCCCAAGAGATGCACCCTACGACTTGGACAGCAGGTGTCACCCAACAAATAGCACAGCCAGAGCCCGCCCTGTGGGTAGGTTGCTTCTAATCAGTCTCCAAGCCTACAAGCCAGCAGTGGCCCGTCATGCAGGTGAGGAGGACCTGGTGGCAGAGAACAAGGCAACCAGAAAGACAGAGTGCACAGGACGGAAGGATGTCACCAGGCCCAGAACAATAGAAGGTAGATCAAGGTGGCACCAGAGCCCTGCTGTGGGTCACATCTCTCCAGCACACTCGCAGCCACCTCTGTGCTGCACTTCCACGCACACCAACCCTCTCATGCCCCCCTCCCCCAGAGCCTGCACCAGCCTCTCCTTTGTCTGACTCGGGGCTGGCCCCCAAACTGCAGCAGTGCTGCCTCCTGCCTTTGCCCACTGTGGGCTCTGCCCAGGGATGAGCTGGCTAGCAATCTCGGGGCCATGGACTCCTGCCCTCTCATTCCTAGGGCTCTGCCTCCTGGGGCCAGCTTCCAAGCCACTGAGCCCTCCTCTCAGGCTCTCCTTTATATCTGAAATCGAAGTGTCCCTCAGGGTCAGAGGGGTGAGGCTGCAGCCTTGAAAGCCTGGGAACTGGGGTGGCAGAGAAGCAGAAGAGCCAGGCGCCAGCTCCCTGGACTGCAGGGAACGGCAAGCAGGATTTTAGAAGAGGCCCAGTGGGAACTGGACTGTGAAGGTGGGCCTGGCCCCCGAACTTCAAGGACAGCCTCCCCTATGGAGGACAGTTGTCTTGCCCAGGCTGGGCTCAGAGCCAACCTCACCCTCCTAGCCTAGAGAGGGAGTGAGGGAGCTCCCCATCGCTGTTGGGTGTGCAAGCGCAGGCAGAGTGGGGGAAGAGGTCTTCCTGCAGTCTAGCACACTTCCCTTCAGACTGAAGCCCGAATCTCTGTGCCGGGGACAGGGGTGTGATACGTGGTGTCTAAGCACCAAGAGAGAAGTCAAGTCAAGCACCAGGAGAGAAGAGGAGGTACCCTGCTCACCAGAAGAGCCAAAGACTGTCCCGCAGAGGCTGACATGGGCTCGGGTGGGGATGGCCATCCAGGGCCAGGCAGTGTAGAGGGTTGGGGCTGAGGAGTCAGAAGCCACCAGAGATGTGCTAGAGGATGGTGCACCAGGGCTGCTGGTGCAGGCAGTGGATCAGGATTGCAGGCTAATGAGTCAGAATAAACGGGGCCACACTGGCCAACACCTCTGGCGCCTTTTGGGATGGGGCAG